TCATACCGATGTTTGTTTATATGGGGGGGGGGGGGGTATAACTCCAACCGATTAAAATAAATGCTTTGTGTACTCTACACGAGTAATATTTGTCTGAGTTTTTAAATTACTTATTGTCTAGGATAATCAAGGATGTTTAATAATTTGTAAGGACTAAATATAACAAATAAACGTATTTCAGTATTCTTTATCAGATCCCCCTTATTAAACTTTAAACGTTTTAAACAAAACATCAAAGATTTGCCAAATGCATTTTATTAATGTACATTGATTTCTGTGATTTTTTTTGTCAATAAATGTCTATATTGATTGATCTCTTGGAAATTCAAATAAAACTGACTCTACATCGTAATATTCGTTTCGTAATATTTCAGGCTTCCATTGTGAAAATAGATTTGAGCGAGGTCTGTGATATATATATATATATATATATATATATATATACCACGTATTCTTTCGACATAATTAGTTTGCCATGAAAGTGCACTCTCATGCTCTATCTCGACGTTTTGATAGGTCATGTCTATCGTCTTCTATTTATCATGAATACGTGGTGTACCCGCAAACCTAGCTCATATACTTTGTATTATCAAGACAATAAAAAGAAACAAAATTATATCTGACCGTAAATAGAATATTAAGTAATAATTGAACAAATAGAAGATAGAATGAGTGACAATTAATGAGAGCTGTAAAGCATTCATTCATTTTTTTTTTTACTAAGCGCATTGTAAAGTCTCATGGCATCTAAAATATTAACTTGCCTTTACACAAAGAGGGCGCACTAAATCTTGCTTATTTTGTATAAAGCGTCATGTAAAGATTCCACTCAGAGTTTATAGAGGATGATGAAAATGGTACATGAACATGTAAAATGCAAGTGTCTTTTTATATAAGAAAGTGGAAAGGGTGGCAGTTTTTGTTAATAATTTGACGAATAATATACAGTAGTATGTTTTATTAATAACAATATTTAATTTGTATATAGCGCTTAATACAAATGTCTCTAAGCGCTTTACAAATATACTATTACCCCGGTCATTGGATTTAGTGCTTACCCGCACACAATGTATGCACAATCGCCACTCCCTGGTGAGCATTCCAGCCAGGCGTTTAATTCATGACGCTCAAAAAACTGTTTTGACTAACAATGACGGTATGTATTATTGAGTTTTTAAAATGGTTGTCAAGAATTATATGAAGAGCAATTCATGATAGTCGAGCAATGTAGTTACAGTAAGCGCACCACCCCCTATCTCTCTTCCTCCTGCTTCTCCCTCTCTCTTCATCTCTCTGAATTATCTCCCTCTATCAATCTTTATAAAGCTCTCAATAATTCCCTTTCCATGTTGCCCTCTTTGTCTAAAAGATTTAATGACTGCTACTAGGAATTTTAATTCAATGTTGTGTTTTACAAATGACCAACTAGGAAACGACCGTCACAGCAAACGATGTACTAATCGTTTAATGTAAACACATTCATAATTTGATAAAGAATATCCAAATTGCGATATCGTTTTCAATACCGACAATTAAATTATTTACATAAAAAACTGTGCATTAAGGCCACTCAAGGGAGACAAGAAAAGCAGGTTTTTTTATAGGTATGTCATCATTATGTAGAACTTTCGTCAATGAGGAACAGTTTTCAATTAATACAAAGATAAACATAGGCCCGAATTCACAAAGGAGGTTTATGGACAAAAGAAGGTTTATGTGCGTCATACGACGCGTTTCAAACCGAGGTTTGTAAACGCGTCGAAACGCGTCATATGACACACATAAACCTACGTTTGTCGGCAAACCTCCTTTGTGAATTTGGGCCACAGAACTTCTGTTTAGACGGGCGATCTTCTTATTTGTGTTATACCGTTGAATCATGGTCATACTGTGTATCGATATAAGATGAAACTGTCTACCATTATGTAAATAGTCACTCGCCAAAATTGTGCTATGATGCATTTTAGTATGGAGTCATAAGAACGAATACATCTAGAGGCTAAGCATATTTCAGATTGGTGTTTTTATTAGCATCATATTCGGAACCTAACATACATTGTGTAGATAGCTGGCGTTGTAAACCCGATATGAGAGAAAACAATAAGCAAACAGTTCATAAACATTCAAAACGGAAATAAAATCTACAAAATTAAAAAATGGAAGCAGATTTCACAACTTGGCAGTATGAAAGACATTTAAATTTGCATATATCTTCAAAGATGTCCATATGAAAACATAAGCATACTATTAAATACATCATATACCGACTGAAATGAAAAATACAACAGAATGATTATAGAACAATAAGGCAAAGGCATATAGTATACAACTTAGGCCTATACAAAAATGTCTGTTTACATGTACAACAGTTAATATCAATACTTTAATACATACAATCACAACTATATTTTAATGTCAAAACATAAATATTATGATAAAGAATATCCCTATTCAATATCATTTTCAATTATCAATAGGTTGTAAGGTTGAAAATCAGTCTTTATAGGCAGGTAAGCTTTATGTATAACTTCCTTCAATATACACTCTTCGAGAGAAAGAGAAACAAAAATGAATATAGTCTTTTTAGACGGGCGATCATTTTATACAAGTGAAGCATGGTAGACGATGATGCTGTCTACCATCGTGTAAATACTCACTCCCTAATAATGTCTTATAATGTTTTTTTAATATGGAGGTATAATAACGTTTTCTTTTTAATAGAGGCTCAAAACATTTCAGGGTGATGTCCTTTATAGCATCATACTCCGATCCCAACATACATTGTGTCGATAGCTAGCGCTATAACCTATATCATTACTTCAACCAGAAACAGAAAATCACATCTCCAAACAAAACAGTACGTAAGATGAGTGCATGAAATACTATTCCCAGGATATGACAGAAGACAATAAGTAAACAGGTCATAAACATTAAAGACGGATATCGAATCAACAAAATACAAAAATATAAACAGATTTCACAATATGGAAATATGAAAGACATCTAAATATGCATATACATGTATCTACAAAAATTGACGAGATGAAAATACAAAAAACATACTTATATTATAATGTACAATAAAACAACTGCAAAACACATAATTATGCAATTGTAGTGGTGGTGGTGGTTGTTATTTTACCTGACTGCTAAGTATGCATAAATGCTTGTAAGTAAGCAACTGGACGGCCGACGGCTTTAGGTCCTCTCCGAGGGCCTGGTAATGAGGATTAATGCCTTACCAAAAGACACTAGCGCATCAACTTGGTTTTGAACACGGGTCACCGGATTACGAGACCACTGCTTCACCGACTGAGCTATCAGGCAACGTCATAATATCCAACTTATACAGTAGGCTTACGGTTCCAGCATTTGAAAAATGACTGACGGTAGTCCTGAGAAGGACTGTTGGTAATCTTTCTTGAGCTTCTAGTTCTAAAAAGAACTATAGCGTCAGGATAGAAAATGATCCTGTGCTTATTTTATGTACATGTACAACATATTAATACTAGAATAATGTTTAGTGGATAATAACGAATACATTTTGAGGCTCAAAAACAATTCAGACTATTTGGTGTCCTTTACTGAGCATCATATTCGGCTCGCAACATACATTGTTTCGATGCTGGTGCTATAGCCCATACCATTGCATAGAACAGAGACTGAAATTCACATCTCCAACAATTCATACAAACAAAATAAACATGGAATGCTATACTTAGGATATCACACGACATAATAAGCCAACAGGTAATTAGACATTAAAAAATGGATTAAAATACTAAAAGCTACCTCAAGTGTAATAAACAAGTCATTATGATTACGGTTCATTAACATTAAGTTTAACACTTGATCTTACGATTGAATTGTGCGATTGATTGTATTGATCACTATGTGCAATACATTGAAAATTGTAACGAGTATTTACAAATGATGAGGTACTTTTGACGGGACTGTATAATTAGATACCGCTGATACAAGTACCACCTCGATCATTAAACTTGCATCATCAAAATACATTGAAATGGTATCTGGCAGGAACAAAACAAATACTTGCTCGTCTCCCTGGTTGGCCTATGATGTTACGTTAGACATATTAACATTCAATCACAGATGGTTAACAAATATTAAATCAACAAAATATAACAATTAAAACATATTGAAAAATATAGCAATATGAACATTATCTACATAATTATGCATGTATCTATCTAATATTGTGAAAGGAAAACACCAAAACATAACAAATTATAATACAGCATATGATTGCAGGGCCCTCAGGGAGAACAGTATGAATACTGATGAGGCTACCCTGGGTAAACAAGACATATTATTATTATTATCATTGACTAAAATGATGAAAACAAAATGGCAACACCATAGTACATATCTTATGCAAACGACCCTGAGCTTCCAATATATGTACAGCAGTTAATGTTAATACTCGAATAAATGCAATCAAACATTACATGCATGAAACATGTTCAATCAATAAAATGATTATAAAACAAAAATATGGCACCCACATGCGAGGTTAGAATATGAGAGAAAACAGACTCGACTTGTAAAATCTTAAATCAACAACATAGTTAAATGTGAATGTCACAATATACAGACACTATGAATATGACTGACAAAGAAAACGGGCAAAATATACAGTTCCTCAGGTATAAGGAACATCCCTTCATTGCTATTATGTAAAAAGGTGAATATCCATACACCTGTTCTACACATTAATAACAACTTTTTTTTTTACTTAGTCTTGGTGAAAGCCACATGGACTATTCTCAGATATGGATGTATGGGACTACATACAAAGGTGGTATGCAATGAGGTATAAATGTTTCAGAATTCCATTGTCATATATATCGACTATGAGAACATTTAATGAGCCATTTTTTCAGAGTATTTCTTATCTGTGGTATTTTTCCCGACCGAAAAAGAAGATTGGAGTTAACTCATAACTTATTATTGGCCTTTCCCTGAACCCAACTGTCGATCTAACATAAGGCACAACAACGACATGGCGTCTGTCGGTTGGTTGTCTTTGTTGTCCCCCTTGAGAGAGGTCTAAGCAGACCGTCATCGTCAGAACCATGGCTCTTTGATAGGTTGTTCCCTCTTGTGTCATCTTCATCAAGAGAGTCAGTCTGTCGGTTTGTCTTCTTTTTGCTCTTCCTTGGCTGTCCAAGCAGACCTTCCTCCTCGGAACCTTGGCTCTTTGATTGGTTGTCCCCTCTTGTGTCATCTTCATCAGTAGAGTCAGTCTGTCGGTTTGTCTTCTTTTTGCTCTTCCTTGGCTGTCCAAGCAGACCTTCCTCCTCGGAACCATGGCTCTTTGATTGGTTGTCCCCTCTTGTGTCATCTTCATCGGTAGATTCAGTCTTACGGTTTGTTTTCTTTTTGCTCTTCCTTGGCTGTCCAAGCAGACCTTCCTCCTCGGAACCTTGGCTCTTCGATTGGTCGTCCCCTCTTGTGTCATCTTCATCAGTAGACTCAGTCTTACGGTTTGTTTTCTTTTTGCTCTTCCTCGGTGGTCCAGGCAGACCTTCCTCCTCGGAACCATGGTTCTTTGATTGGTTGTCCCCTCTTGTGTCATCTTCATCGGTAGACTCAGGCTCAGGATTATTTGGGATGTCTTCAACTCTAAGTACATGACAAATCACATCAATCGATATTAATAGAAAATAAAAGAGTTAAATATCATTTTAAAGCAAAAATTGTTTTTCACTTCAATACTAATGATGATAATAATAATAACTACAACAATAATAGTGCTGATTTCAACATTTCCAGTTTAAACATGTATAAGCATGACAATCTGACCATTATTTAAAACGAATTCTTTTATCATCCATTACAAATCTCACTAACCGGTTTCGGAATGGTGATTATCGCTTACTTCATACATTATTCCAAGGAAAAACTAAAGTTAAACAGCTTAACAGAATCATAAGTTTATTGCTATCTTTAACTTATCGATATAAAAGGATTATCAACATGAATAATAAATACATTGAGAACAAGATAGCGACATTATAAACTTGTTAAATTGAACATACGTATTGCCCATTACCCAAGTAAGTCATCAATGTTAGAAGTAGGCTGTATTTTTTTAAAGGAATAGGTTGGACGATGACAAGTAAGAGCAACATTATTTGTTTACAAATTGCCATAGCGAACAGCAAGTATTCGTGTTTGTGTTATGGTTCTCTTACTTTGGTTGTAGATGACATCTTGTTACTGCAGATGGGCCTGTAAAGTGAGAAATAGAGAGAGAAAGGGATTAGGGAAAGGGAAAGATAAAACAGAATAGAAAAAGTAAGATAAAGATAATGATGTGATCAGGCGGGCCAGAATCAGTTTGTGGATGGGGGGAACATTCTAGGGGGCTCATCTTCAAGGGAAAGGGGCGTAATGAGCAAAAAAGGTCTTTTTTATGTGGGGGGGTGGGGACAGAAGAAAAATCTGCATCACCATCACTCTTACATTTTGCATGCCGGTCCCGCGGAACGTTTTTCAAAGTGGAGTATTAATTATCAGGTAGAGCGTAAATTGGCGTGGGGTCCAGGGTCTGAGTCCCGGCAGGGGGTTAAGGGGCCGAGCCCCGGAAGCTCAGGGTTTTTAGGCATTAAGCTATGGTCAGATAAGCCTTTTTTGATATATACCTTATTTGTGACACTGGCAGGTCACTAATTGGCGGGGTCCAGGGGGCAGAGCCCCCGGAAGCTCAGGGGTTTTAGGTATTTAATTGAGGTCAGATGAGCATCCAGGGGGCAGAGCCCCCGGAAGCTCAGAGGATTTAGGTATTTAATTGAGGTCAGATGAGCATCCAGGGACCCACCTTAGGGCCCTTAGTGGGGTACGGGGGTGGAGCCCCCGTAAGCTCACGGATTTTAGGCATTTAATTACGGTCAGACACAAAAATTTCCCCTCCACTGCTTTTCTTTCTTTTTTTGGAGAGGGGAGGGGGACGAAAATGCGTTTTGCCTCCCACTTTTGTTGGTTGGGGGGGGGGGATGGGGCGCCCGCCTGCCCCCCCCCCACCCCCACACTTCCGGTGCCTTTGGATGTGATAAAGAGGAAGATAAAGACGAAAAAAGCTATGGAAAGTCGATCCTTCGCAAATGTTTTGTATGCAGTTCATTTAATACATTTTTGGGTGTTACGGTTGACCAAAAGCTTTCTTGGAGAAATCACATCGACAATATTTGTAAAATTATTTCTCGAAATATTGGTATTATTTACAAAGTAAAGACATGTCTTCCTCTTAATTCCTTAATTATGCTTTATAGTTCTATGATACTCCCATACTTGAACTACGGTCTCTTAGTCTGGGGTAACACTCATCAAACGTTATTAGATAAAGTGTTCTTATTACAAAAGAAGATTATTCGTATTATTTGTAATTCCCCCTTTCGCTCCCATACAGACGCTCTATTCTTTGATAATAAAATACTTAAGGTAAAAGACTTATATTTTTTCCAACTTGGTCAATTTATGTATAATTATAATAATAATATGTTGCCATCTGTTTTTCAGGAAATGTTTTTTAAAAATAGCTCAGTTCATAATTACCCAACAAGACATTCAGATGATTTCCATTTACCTCTCTTGCGGACCCTCTCAGCTCAAAAAACATTTATATATGAAGGTCCAAAGTTTTGGAATTCATTAAGTGGTGAAATAAAAAATGCTCTATCGATTAATACTTTTAAGAAAAAATTGAAAGTGTTTTTATTAAAATCATATACACCTCATTGAATTATATGCCGTTATTGCTTTTTGCTTAATATACGATCATTCTCCGTTCACTGACTCAAGATGTAATTTGATATATTATATTGTTCCTTCTCATGCTTATTTCCTTTCTAACGCGCACTTCTTTTTCCTTTCTCTTTCCTTATCTTCTTCTCAACCCCACATGCAGCTCATCTTTTAGTATTATTTTCTGTACCCTCGATCTCTCACTTCTTTTTTTCATTGTCTACTCTTTGTATTATGACCGTGTTCTTCTATCTTTGTCGTGTAAAGTATTGTCTTGTCCCTTTCTCGTCTCTGTTGGCATTCCCCTTTTATTTCCCCTATTTTATAGTTCCTTTTGTAGTTACATATTAGATAATTTAATTACTCATTATTCCTAAGTTTCATTTGAGGTGTTCACACTTGTACAAGCATTGCTTTTTAGTGGACCCCTCTGTTTCCAACATGTATTTCTTAAATTTGTTTTAAATGCTTATAATTGATTTGTAATGTTTTGTTGGAAACATGAATAAATTTGAATTTGAAGCATGGTAGTACTGTGTATTGATTTACGATTTAAATGCCTACTTTCATGCAAGTACATTCACTCGTCAATAATGTATTATGATGCCTTTTAGTATGGATTCGTAATAACTAATACATTTGGAGGCTCAAAACAATCCTGGGAGTGTATCATATTTAAGTGCATCAACTAACGTTGAACTGCGCAGATGTAGTTTAACATTCTTATTATGATTTTTTTTTTAAGCAAAATATATTTTTTGCCATAATTTAAATGAGGTTATTAGAAATATAGTCACACTTTGTTGAAACATCAGGACAAATTGTGGGAATCCTATCTGGCATATTCAAGTCGTTCGTAAAGTCATGCGTAACTATACGAAGAGCTTTATGAAACACCCCCAGATGTGTGTTTTTTTATAGCATCATATTCGGATCCCAATTACTTACACTATGTAGATAGCTCGCGCTATTTCACATATCATTACACCAAACAAAATTTGTTCCATTTTACAATGTTATAATGTATGAGACAAAGTATTATGTTTATACTGTAAGAACAATTATGTTCCTATTTATCATTTTGTATAATTATGAAAATCTAAATAAAGGCAAACAAACATTGGAAAAAAGGAGACTAAATTTCGAATCTCAACAAGAGAGTATTCATTAAAAAAATAGAATACTATGCACAGGATATAGAAGAAAAAAAGAAGAGCAGGACATAATAAGCCAACATACATTACAAACGGATTTAAATCCTTAAAAGCATGGTTCTTCGTTTGTTTTTCACCTTTAATTATTTCATCTTCATCGGTAGAGTCAGTTTTACGGTTTGTTTTCTTCTTTGTCTCCCCTGGACGTCCACCGCGACCATCATCCTTGGACCAATGGCTCTTTGATTGGTTGTTCCCACCTGTGTCATCTTCATCGGTAGAGACAGTCTTTCGATTTGTTTTCTTTTTTGTCTCCCTGGGCAGTCCAAGCTGACCGTCATCCTCAGAACCATGGCCCCTAGATTGGTTGTCCCCTCCTGTGTTATCTTCATCGGTAGACTCAGTCTTACGGTATGTTTTCGTTTCTGTCTCTCCTGGACGTCTACCACGACCGTCTTCCTCGAACCCATGATTCTTTGATTGGTTATTCCCACCTGTGCCATCTTCATCGGTAGAATCAGTTTTACGGTGTGATTTTTCTTTTGTCTCCCCTGAACGCCAACCACGACCGTCATCCTTGGACCCATGGCTCTTTGATTGGTTGTTCCTACCTGTGTCATCTTCATCGGTAGAGTCAGTCTTACGGTTTGTTTTCTTTCTCGTCTCCGCTGGCATTCCACCACGACCGTCTTTCTCAGACCTATGGCTCTTTGACTGGTAGTTCCCACCTGTGTCATCTTCATCGGTAGAGTCAGTTTTATGGTTTGTTTTCTTTTTTGTCTCCCCTGGACGTCCACCGCGACCATCATCCTTGGACCAATGGCTGTTTGATTGGTTGTTCCCACCTGTGTCATCTTCATCGGTAGAGACAGTCTTTCGATTTGTTTTCTTTTTTGTCTCCCTGGGCAGTCCAAGCTGACCGTCATCCTCAGAACCATGGCCCCTAGATTGGTTGTCCCCTCCTGTGTTATCTTCATCGGTAGACTCAGTCTTACGGTTTGTTTTCGTTTCTGTCTCTCCTGGACGTCTACCACGACCGTCTTCCTCGAACCCATGATTCTTTGATTGGTTGTTCCCACCTGTGTCATCTTCATTGGTAGACTCAGTCTTACGGTTTGTTTTCTTTTTTGTCTCCTCTGGAGGTCCACCACTATCGTCTTCCCCAGACACATGGTTCTTTGATTGGTTGTTCCCATCTGTGTCATCTTCATCGGTAGAGTCAGAGTTTTGGTTTGTTTTCTTTTTTGTCTCTTCTGGACGTCCACCACGACCGTCTTCCTCGAACCCATGATTCTTTGATTGGTTGTTCCCATCTGTGTCATCTTCATCGGTAGAGTCAGAGTTTTGGTTTGTTTTCTTTTTTGTCTCCCCTGGACGTCCACCACGACCGTCTTCCCTAGACCAATGGCTCTCTGATTGCTTGTTCCTACCTTCGTCATCTTCATCGGTAGAGTCAGTCTTTCGATTTGTTTTCTTTTTTGTCTCCCTGGGCAGTCTAAGCTGACCGTCATCCTCGGAACCATGGCCCCTAGATTGGTTGTCCCCTCCTGTGTTATCTTCATCGGTAGACTCAGTCTTACGGTTTGTTTTCGTTTCTGTCTCTCCTGGACGTCTACCACGACCGTCTTCCTCGAACCCATGATTCTTTGATTGGTTATTCCCACCTGTGTCATCTTCATCGGTAGAATCAGTTTTACGGTGTGATTTTTCTTTTGTCTCCCCTGAACGCCAACCACGACCGTCATCCTTGGACCCATGGCTCTTTGATTGGTTGTTCCTACCTGTGTCATCTTCATCGGTAGAGTCAGTCTTACGGTTTGTTTTCTTTCTCGTCTCCGCTGGCCCTCCACCACGACCGTCTTTCTCAGACCTATGGCTTTTTGACTGGTAGTTGCCACCTGTGTCATCTTCATCGGTAGAGTCAGTTTTATGGTTTGTTTTCTTTTTTGTCTCCCCTGGACGTCCACCGCGACCATCATCCTTGGACCAATGGCTCTTTGATTGGTTGTTCCCACCTGTGTCATTTTCATCGGTAGAGTCAGTCTTTTGGTTTGTTTTCTTTCTCGTCTCCGCTGGCCGTCCACCACGACCGTCTTTCTCAGACCTATGGCTCTTTGACTGGTAGTTCCCACCTTTGTCATCTTCATCGGTAGAGTCAGTCTTACGGTTTGTTTTCTTTTTTGTCTCCCATGGACGTCCACCACGACCGTCTTCCTCGGGCCCATGGCTCTTTGATTGGTTGTTCCCACCTGTGTAATCCTCATTGGTAGAGTCAATCTTACGGTTTGTTTTCTTTTTCGTCTCCCTCGGACGTCCACCAGAGCCGTCTTCCTCGGACCGATGGCTCTTTGATTGGTTGTTCCCACCTGTGTCATCCTTATCGGTAGAGTCAGTCTTTCGATTTGTTTTCTTTTTTTCCTCCCCCGGACGTCCACCGCGACCGTCTTTCTCAGACCCATGGCTCTTTGATTGGTTGTTCCCACCTGTGTAATCCTCATTGGTAGAGTCAGTCTTACGATTTGTTTTCTTTTTTGTCTCCCCCGGACGTCCACCGCGACCGTCATTCTCAGACCCATGGCTCTTTGATTGGTTGTTCCCACCTGGATCATCCTCATTGGTAGAGTCAATCTTACGGTTTGTTCTCTTTTTCGTCTCCCTCGGACGTCCACCAGAGCCGTCTTCCTCGGACCGATGGCTCTTTGATTGGTTGTTCCCACCTGTGTCATCCTTATCGGTAGAGTCAGTCTTTCGATTTGTTTTCTTTTTTTTCTCCCCCGGACGTCCACCACGACCGTCTTTCTCAGACCCTTGGCTCTTTGATTGGTTGTTCCCACCTGTGTCATCCTCATCGGTAGAGTCAGTTTTTCGATTTGTTTTCTTTTTTGTCTCCCCCGGACGTCCACCATGACCGTCTTTCTCAGACCCATGGCTCTTTGATTGGTTGTTCCCACCTGTGTCATCTTCATCGGTAGAGTCAGTCTTTCGGTTTTTCTTGTTTTTGCTCTTCCTTGGCTGTCCAAGCAGACCGTCATCCTCGGAACCATGGCTCTTTGATTGGTTGTCGCCTTTCATGTCATCTTCATCGGTAGAGTCAGGCTCAGGATTATTTGGGATGCCTTTCCCTCTAGGTACATGAAAAATCACATCAATCGATATAATTAAAAAGTGAGGTAGGGTAAATGTTATTTTAAAGCAAAGATGATTTTTCAATTCAATACTAATTATGATAATATTAATAATGATAACACTAACGATACGGCTCATTTCCACATTTCCACTTTTAAACAAACATAACACATGGTATTATCACCAATATTCTAAAAAAATTCATCAACTATATATCTCACTAAACGGTTTTGAATGGTGATTATTGATAACAACGATAGTCTACGGGAATAATGAATTTCAAAAGCTGATCAGTATGATGAGTATAATTGCTATCTTAAACTAATTCATATAAAATTAAAGAATTATCATGAAACATTAGGGAGGGCTGAACGATTATCAACATGATTAATAAGTACATTGAGAAAAGATGACGACATTATAAACTAATTACATTAATCATACTTATTGCCCATTACACAAGTCAGTAATTAATGTGAGTAGTAGTCTGTATTATTTAAGGAATAGGTTAAAAGATGAAAAGTAAGAGCGACATTATTTTTTTCAAAATTGCCATAGCGTACAGCCATTATTTTAGGTGTGTGTTATGGCTCCCTTACTTCGGTTGTAGATGACCTCTCGCTACTGCAGATGGGCCTGTTAAGTGACAAAGAGAGAGAGAGAGAAAGAGATTAGGGAAAGAGAATGAAACAAATAGTAAGAGAAACATAATGATTCGATAAATAGAAAGAGCAAGATAAATAGGAAAATAACAGTACGGGGGATCGATCATTCGCACATGTTTTGTATACAGTTGAAGCATGGTGATTCTTTGTATTGATAAACATTTTAAATGTCTACCATTATGCAATTACTCCCTCACCAACAATGTTTTATAATGCCTTAAAGTAGGAAGTCATAATAACAATTACATTTAAAGGCTCAAAACAATGTGCTAATGCTATTATACAACTCGATAGTATTACCCCATTTGTCTTACTGCAATATAGTGTGGGGAAATTCATATTGAACTCATCTAAACAAAATGAAAATACTTCAAAAGAGTGCAATTCGAATTGTAACATATTCAATGTATAATTCTCATACGAAGCCAACATGTCCAAGACATTAAAAGCGGATTTGAATCCTCAGAAGCGTGGCTTTATGTGTCTCCCCTCTTGTTCTTTCATCTTCATCGGTAGAGTCAGTCTTTTTTACACTGTCTAGTAATGAGTAAGTGTGGGATTGGTTGATGTAATATTATAATTTAAGACTTGCATAATCACAGTGTGAAACTCATTCCATTATCATTTGTTGGAAATGATAATTCGTGCAAACTATTATTGTTAATTACTCTCTCTCTCTCTCTCTCTCTCTCTCTCTCTTTCTTTATCCACCCGTCTCTCTCTCTCTCTCTCTCTTTTTTTTCTTTATCCACCCGTCTCTCTCTCTCTCTGGCTCTCTCAATATATATATCCGTTTCTCTGTATTGCAACATTTAATAAGGACGGTACCCGAAAATGTTTGAAACATGCGTTAAATTGGTCCACTGAATTGGTCTTCTAATCATTTTGACCAACTTCATATTTTTATGCACGCATATGGTCAGCAATAATGCGTGCGCGGACACGGGTCACGTATGTTCGCTGTGCCCGCTCGCGACATTTTAGAACCTAATGTAGCCATCCTGTCGCTGCATATTAATATTTGAATATATGAATATTTGCGTTGGTACGGTGTGGTGGATATCAAAGTTAAATTGGCCAGATTCTGAACTAACCAGTATGTCGCATTGATTATGGACAAGTTGCGACCTGGGTAGTCATTCGTTTACGGTAAGCCCCCTTCTGATTTTCTCGCATTGTCATTTATTTTAAATAAAACATAGCTTAGCAATTGTAATTTTTGTATCGAATCTCATTATTTGATAAATTATCGCATCAGATTCTGTGTGCGTGCGTATCATGAATATTTATGAATAGCGCATGACGTATATGTTCCTATTGAGCCAATCAAATGTAGCGGTATAATGGCTAGGTTAGGTTAAAAAAAGACGCTGCCCGCTCTGTGTGCGGCGCCATTAATAATATGACATGACTCGTTAACAATTAAGAAAGAAAGCCGATCCAAACATTCTGCTTATAGAATTACCTTCCTCTTAACCATCTAACCAATAAAAAAATACAAATAGGATGGTTTCCCTACATCCCCTCCAAATAAATATTCATATTGCCGAATTGCCTTTTTGAAATAAACATTGAAGATAGCTTGAAATATATTCACATTTCAATGGACCATAGTTTTGGCAAAACCACGAAATTTTACATTTTTGTTGGAAGGTTAATACAATAATTTGTAACGAGGAAGTTACCAAAGATTTGGGCATTCAATTTGTTTACATTACGAAAATCGCCTATTCTAACAAATATTTTTAAAAGGACACAAATTGGACTCGCATACTAACTAGGCAATTTGAAAAGAATAATAGTTGTGGCTACATTCGAAATACATTTCCAAATTTGCCATTTTGAGGGCTACTTCAACCATTAAATCAAAACTATTTTTAAAGGCAAAAATGCGGTTATGGTTATAAATTTCGCCTTTATGTTTTCTATGTAAGTTAAAACAGAAGTAATTAGCCTGCATGGTACAAAATTAAACCATACACACATCCAAAGTGTTATTATTTAGTTTGTCTATTTTACTGGTTCATACTAACTTGCCATATCGTCCTTTAGGAGGTCTGCCAGACGATGGTGCTCAATTGAGATCAGGGCTTTCGTCAATTGTTCACGTTCTTCAGACCTTTTAGTCTTTTTCCTCCAATCCCGAAGCATGTGAAGTGTTCCCATGAACGTGTGGTCTTCTCTGTTCTTTTGCATGTAACGTTCTATATCCGGAGGTTTAAACCCTAACTTTACGCCTAGATTGTCGATGTCAATATCCCTACAAATCTGATCAGCTACTGTCTTGAGAAGGCCGTCAAAAATTTGCTCCTTGTATTCCACTGAAGGTCTATATTCGGATGGAAATAATATGAAAAATATTTCATTTTATATGATATTCTCACTTGACCGATTTTACAATGTATAGCACATCAAAACTTGGATTGTATGTAGATACAGAAACCATTTATTTTTGTTTGCCCCCCCCCCCCAAAAAAAGAAAAAAACAAAAAAAATAGCCCCGGCCGATATTTCGCTCAGTGGGGTAGGGGTGGGGGGGGGGGGGTTGTATGGTGCACTTATGTTGTTTTTTTTTTCAAATTTGAAAATCGCGCGCCTGGTCAAAATACCAAATACAAAAATATTGATGATTGTCAGGAGAACGTTATTTCATAAGATTCTTTCAAATTACATTTTGCTATTCCGTTTTTTTTTCTTCACTCCATTGAATAAAATGGGGTATATCCCCAAAAAGGATTTATCTATACAAATCTGAATATCTATAGTCATTATGGGCTTAGATGATGCCATTGCAAAATCGTTAAATGAAAATATTGTTACAGAACACAAAAACACATGAACATTCTCGCTTTATATATCTTTTGCTCTTTGCTGGCTTATACTAGATAATTATCTAAGAACGATATTAGAGTATTATAATGTAAGATATATATTATCCCATCAATGATATTTTAACCAATAATGATTAGCGTTTATTATCGGCATTAGAATTAGGAAACAATTCTAACCTGGCTTTAGAATTAGAAGCTTCACCGGCTTCTGCTGATGCATTTGGAGTAGGAATGTCGACTGAAATAAAATAAAATTGAATTGATGAGGATGATGACGGTATCGGGGATGCTGAATAATTTTCTTGGTGGGAAATCGTGTTCACTTTGTAACACTATGTATTCGGTATGTTCATGTTATAGGACTGGTTGTATAATCCTGTTGTATTATAAAATGAATTACGATTCAAGTTGACAAATTATAGTTATTCATTGATTACTTTTGTTTCCTCATTTTATTTTTATTTTTTTATTTTCCATCGATCAACCAACAAGCAATTCGTGTTGGTGAGACTTAATTTGAATTTGCAAAATTGTATCGATTACTGTAAGCAAAAGTTTTTTATCTCAATTAAGCTTCTTTCTTAAATCGGAAGGGGAGGAAATTAGTACGAAAAATAGAGAGTATAAAGCAAACAGTAGGTGGGATTTGATCTTAACCCTATCTAGCCTGGGCTATTTGAAACTGCATAGCCTGGGGGGGGGGGGGGGGTATGTTCTCGGCCGTTACAAAGCCGATCGCCGCGAAAATGTGCATGCATGTCAAGTGAAGTGTATAGATTACTTTGGTCATTTTGTTGTTGTTGACAATTGCACTCATTTGCAAATTTAGGGTAATGTATGCAAATAAGGTAATACAATTCACATTTTTGCCCATAAATCATATATTCCTTATATTTAAACATTAGTCTTCAACACATCTATTCTTTAGAGCATTTGAAAAAATAATACAACGAAAATTGGAAGAACCAGGTAACTCCTTATTTTGTCTATTTTTAAAAATACTTTCTAATGTATTTACATGTTTTTGTTTAACTTAATAAGTTTAAAAAAACATGTAAACATGTAAAATACATAATATGTATTTTTTTATTGTTTTTATTCCTATAACTATAACTATAATTAAACTATTTTGAACCCCGAAATAAACACCTAAACTATAAACAAGACCAAATAACCAATGCTTTCGAAAAAAATTGTTTCAAAAGATGCGCAAGAATGGAAAGAAAAAGTTCATACAATTTCAGCGCAAGATTCTTTTGCGTTAAAGAATTATGGCGGAAAATGTAGCCAACCCCCCCCCCCCCCTCCCCAGGCTAGATAGGGTTAAAGAGGACATTCACAGTTTTATTTTTAATACTTCAACTCTGCCCATGACATGACATGGTGTCCGTCCATGACAAAGACTTTTCACAGTGGTTTTACAAAGTGGTTTATCAAATTAAAAACAAATAATTTAGCATGGATAATGAAGTAACAGCTGCGTCTAATAGTCGAAGTAAAATACAGAGCCTACCTAACTAGAAAAAAGCTAAATTATTTTTACTCACCACGATGAGCAGAGAAATGTGTTCTGAACTGTATGTGCATCGGAAGCATTGACTGTATCACTTTCAGCTTCATCAGCAGGTCATCTGCTTTCCCGTTAAAATCTAAAGCGAAGTAGACAGTATGCTTAGTCTTTTGGATGAAGCTTGCATCAACATTCTGTCATTGGATATAATTAAGCGTAACAAACTATATATTAACAAAATTGGCAGAAAAGGATGAGAGACAAAAATAAGTATATTTGTAGAGGATTGCAAATGAATTACATAAGATGTGCCAGTAAAGATGATAATAGGGACTTTTAGATTCGCACGAAGACAATGGGGATTGCTACGATCGACGTTCTTTTAATGCACAGCCTTGAGTGGACGTCACACGTAGTAGTCCACGCAAATCTAAAAGTCCATATTATCAAAGTGCAAGGCACTGGTACTATCAGGGGCAGATCTAGCCGGCGGCAAAGGGGGTGGGGGGGGGGGGCAATTCGTGATAATATATTGAGCGGCGACTCAGCCAGCCGGGGGGGGGGGTGGGGGGGGGGGGCTGTATGAAGCACTTTTATTTTTGGTCCAATTTTTCATTAAATATTTAGCGGTGACTTAGCCAGCCGGTGAATAAGCAATCCGCGCCTGGGTACTATGGATCATAACAATGTCATTATTGACAACACTGGAGTTACATTACGTGCTTGTCTTTGGAGAAGGTTCGGAGCCACCACACAGCCTAACGGTAGGCGTGCAAAAACACGGCTATTTCATTAATACGGAGTACTCGGACCGGTTTGACCCGTACCGTAGAGCTCTCCGAAAAGGCACATTTTCAAACGACGATATCTCCTTCATTTTATCACTTTTGGGCGCCCTGTTTTTGAAATATCATAGTAAATATTTGGAGTTACTTAATATTTGAAAACATTCATCATACGAATCATGTAAATAATTAAATTTTCACTTTTAAATATTTTGTTTTTCACAAAGATAACAACTTTGAAAACAACTCGAATTTTGACACATAGTTTTATTTTTGGCCCCAAATGAAAGTCTAACGTATAGAATCGCAATTTATTCCTCTTTCCGTAAATATAAACATGGGGGTGTAAATGTCTTAATATGGGTCAGGATCCAGCAAAATCTAACCCAACTACAATGTCAAAAACTCATCAAAACCAGCCGGTTTGACCCGTACCGTAGGTAGAGCTGTCCAAGAAGGCAGTAACAGGGTATGAGAACGACGATATCTCCTTTATTAAATCATAGTAAACATCTGGATTCTGGATATCTGAAATAAATATCTGGATATCTGAGAAGGCACATTTCCAAACGACGATATCTCCTTCATTTTATCACTTTTTGGCGCTCTGTTTTTTGCAATATCATAGTAAATATCTGGAGATACGTAATAGTTAAGAATATTCATTACACTACAGTCTATTGGGGGGAAACGAGTATGGTAAAACCGGTCACTCAACGATTTTTACTTTTTTGAGGCACTTCTTGATCATTTTAAAGCGGAATTTTTTTAGGGCTTCAATATTACACCATATCACAGACACTGATATCACGTAGGGCCGTGTATCTCAGATTTAACATTGTTAAACGATCCCTTTAATACGGCGTACTCGGACCGGTTTGACCCGTACCGTAGGTAGAGCTGTCCAAGAAGGCAGTAACAGGGTATGAGAACGACGATATCTCCTTTATTAAATCATAGTAAACATCTGGATTCTGGATATCTGAAATAAATATCTAGATATCTGAGAAGGCACATTTCCAAACGACGATATCTCCTTCATTTTATCACTTTTTGGCGCTCTGTTTTTTGCAATATCATAGTAAATATCTGGAGATACGTAATAGTTAAGAATATTCATTATACAAATCCTGTAAATAGTTTTATTTCCACGTTAGAAACTTTTTTTTTTAAAGATCAAAACATTGAAAACAACTCGATTTTTGACACATAGTTTTATTTTTGGCCCCAAATAAATTTGGTGTCAAAATTTGTACCAAAATATTGGCTTTCCAGTGCACATACAATTTATTAAATTCATGTTTATTATCGGTCAGGATCCAGCAAAGTTTGAGGGCATGCAAAATCTTTTTTTTTCTTCAATAACCCGTCATAACATAACTTTGCACAAATACATCATATCTGGTCAGAAAATGAACGAAATGGTACATTGATTATTGTTCTTCAAACTTATCATGACATGTGCCGGCAGGAACCCTATTCGGTGTTTCAGGCCAGCGGTAATACACGACGTGCATATTCCACTTTTAAACAACAACAAGACTTTCCACTTTAGAACGCTAGAGGGCCTTAATAATGAAATCCTCTCTACAATACAGGGCCGATCTCCGCCTGTGGTTAGGCTGCACACCAAGCGTGTAGGTGGTGAAACAATCAAATAGCTCTTTATTAAAAAACAGGAATAATTAAGATGTTCGGTTGTACACTTTAATGCTAACCTCGTTTTTGCTCGGTGTATAGGTTTCTGGTTGAAAATTACATCGCCGTTTTGAGGCAACCCAAATATACAGCTCAGCCTGCAGCCTTGGTGAAATTTAACATCACCCAGGCAATTTTTTATTTGTCGGTTCGTATATTTTGTTATTGTTTTTTTCGGCGGAGCATTCAATATGTCTATAATAACCGAAGGTGAGGGGGGGGGGGGGGTGGTTAAGCTATTATGTGCCTCCTCCTGTTTCTATGCCGCTTTATTCAAACGAATTGTTGTTGTATTTTGGAGGGTGGGGGGAGACCAATTTATATTAAATATCCCAAGCACAATTTTGACAAATCTTCAATTTTTGAATGCCATTTACACAACTAGAAAAATCCATAAAAACTGTAGGTGTTTGCTTATACAGATTTGTGGGTGCGTCAGTGACTTGTCAATACTTCAAGAAGAAAGTTATGTGACTATAAACCGGCATCATACCGAAGTTTCGAGAAATCCGATGCTACTTTATTATCTGTATGACTTTTAATGATATTATATAGTATTAATGACTGCTTTGAGAGGAATAGTTGTAACCTTCCCGAAAACGTATAAGAACGACTATTTCTCGAATATTAAACAGTCATTAATACTTTTATATGCCGAAAAAAGGAGTCAACTTATGACACCACCTTGGCCTTTATCTAGTTTATCTGCACGGTTGTTTTTTATGAGTGTATCTTTGAGAGTAGACTAAAAAAAAATTTAAAAAATTAACAAACTTTTGTCGAAGATGGGATTCGTCCTCTTGCGCACCACCGATGTTGTGACTAAAATCACCGCCTTAGACCGCTCGGCCATCGCGCACTGATACCAAATCCAGAAGTTTACTTTCGTCTTCATGTCAACAATGCTAGATGAAATTGTCGGTAAGATCGATCTAGATTCAATTGTATTGAAATAACCGACCAATTTATCGCACACGTACGGTATCCTCGATCGCTCAGACCATTTTTTAACATGTCAACCTATGGGTATTTCACCAAGACTGAACTATTTACATGGGTTTGGAATTTTACCGGGAATTTGACAGGAATAGTTAAAGTTTATGAATGCAATTTCGACCAATCAGATGGCTGGATTTCTTAAGTGAGGTATATAATACAAAATAATACACAGCACTGAGGACATTAGTAAGAATTACCCACACGAGATACCTTTGGAACAGTCTAACAATCTGTTTGGACTGTTTTTAAGTTATCGAGTGTGGGTAATTTTACTAATGCCCGAACAAAATGATATATATTATGATAATGACCGGTCATTATCCAATTTACGCGTTAGGCAAAATAAATGCCTGGTCACGTGTACGCTTTCAACCAATCATTTGATTACGATCCACGTCATCATCTTATAATACACAAATATACACTGTCTTGAGAGGTTGTGGTTAAAACTGACTCTATAAGTACTATTTGCTGGGGGAGTAGCCCCCCAAAAAATGGTACTATTGGAGTCAGGCGCGTAGGCAGGATTCTTTCAAGGGGGGGGGGGGGGGGGGGGGGGGTGGGGTGGGGTTTAAAATTTGAAGATCACGCCGAAAATTTCGCAACGACACAGTCGGCCGCTGCATAAGCGGGGGGGGGGGGGTGGGGTAAGAGGACATTTTTATTTTTTTGGTCCCAAATTTGAAGATCACGCTGAAACTTTCGCAACGACTCAGTCAGCCGATGAATAAGCGGGGAGGGGGGGGGGTAAGAGGACCTATTTGTTCCCCCTCCAAAACACACACATCAAAAAAGCTAAAGGGGGTTCAACCCCCCCCCCCTCCCCCTGCGTACGCGCCTGATTGGAGTCATTGAGGTCCATAGCTTTGACCAGTACCTCGAAAAGAAGGCATGGTATATTTGTTTTTTATCCTGAATCACATTTTTAAAAAAAATTAAAAAAATTACAATGTTTCGATTTTTGTTTAATTGAAGTTCATAAAATCTTTAAAAAAAAAAAAAAATTAAGAATTAAATAAAATCAAACAAATAAAAAACAAACAAAATGTGGATTCCCAAATAGTACTTCTACTCCCCAATAGCACTCTCAAATAGTAACTTCTTTCAGAGCAACCTTTAAATAGTTGAAATATTTCGGGTCAAATGACGAGCTCTCAACCAATCAAAAAACAAAACATTTGTTATGCAGGGTATAATACTAGATGTATTTAAGTCTTCGTATGAAGTGGGGATTCTTAAAATGCAGACGGCTCTCAGATTATATTTTTTTAACGGTGTTTATGATCATTTTACAAGGTAATAATATAATTTGCTGTCACAATAAGATATCAAGACTAAATAATAACAGCATTTACTATACTTAAAGATAATACAAAGTTTTGGTATGGGGTCTTGAATTTGGTTCAAATTAACATATTGGAAGCATAATGCATATGCGATCCTACAATATTTAGTGATCGTTGTCGCGGTTGAAATCGAGTCTAAAGTTATGAAATTATAAATAATAAACTCTATATGTTGTATAGCTCCCTCTCAAGGTCAAGATATTAATTAAGCTATAAAACAATGTATCTTGACTAAAATTGACCAATTTGCTAATCCCGTTCCAAAATTATATGTCACAATTACATATTCGGAGATTTTCATGGTCGCAGCTACCACTGTACGGCCGTAGTCGCTATTTGAAATTCATCAACATTTACCGGGAGCATCGGTACATTTTTATATTCAATTTTTCTCAAAAGCAGAAATGTTTTAGGGGCTAAATTTTCTTGTGCGTATAATACATCCACAGGGGCATCCAAATATATCAAAATTGTAAATAATCACTATCCACTCAATTTTCAGAATTTCCCAAAACTTTGTATTACCTTTTACTATACACTATATCACTTTACATTTTAGATCAGTTTAAACTCAAGAACCACAAATTTTAATATGAGGAAGGGTAAAGAGAGGACTCTCACCTGTGTAAGCGTGTCATTATCATTTAGTTGGCAAGTGACTTCCACACCACTAAATTTGACATTCATCTCATCGTCATCATCTTTAGCAGGTTGATGCACTGCCGTTTCTTCTATTTCATGAACATCTCTCTGTGACAAAATAATGTGACATGTCGATGTTTATTAACACAAAAAATGTCATACATCAAAATATTCAAATATTGCATGAATAACTTTAAGCTTACACAAAATACATGTTTAAAAAATAGTTTATAGTTTGATGGAGGGGGGTAATAGCAATGCTTTGAGTATTTTAGAGGCATTGACAGAGAACTTCTAGAATAATTTATCATTGACCAGGCCCATTGGATTAAATATAAATAGGGTTAACCTTTAAAACATGTGCGGTTTCACATTGTGGGTAGTCGTGAAAAGGGTTGTTGGATTTCAAATGGATAAAATAGAAATGAGAGTGAGCGTAGACCTATGGATGTCTACTTAATATGGTAAGGAGAGAGGTAGAGTAAATAAAAAGAGATGTTTTTGTTTGGGGGGGGGGTGGGTTGAGTGCAGATGAGGGCGGTTGAACCAGGTCTTATTAAACTGGTCAAGTTCACCAGTCTTTCATGGAATACCCTAATAGTGAAAGCGCAAAGTTAATAAATATTCCACAAATCACCATGCAAAACCCAACTTTTGAAGATCATTTGAACCTGTTAATATGCATTTCTTCAACGTAAGTTTGTAATGATGAAAATGGTACGGATAGCTTACGTCTTTCATGTTAAAATAAAAGAAGCCGATCCAATCAAAGCATCGTTTTTGTATTATTGAACATGGAATGATCAGTATGGATGAATGTAGGGTTTTATGAAGACCAACATTGTTTGAGATTAATTCATATGTCAGATATTTATGCCATACCCAAGAGTTTCCATGAGGTTTAGTGGCCATACGAAACTCCAGCACCGGTTTCCTACACCCTGGCATAATCTTCGGAAGAAAAGGCATGAAGGACATTCGTTTGTTTTTCATGGAGAACGCATCTTTAATGAAGGCTAGAAATCCTTTTGAAAAATGCTCCAGTGAAATCTCCACATGGTGTTTTGTAACCTTACAGGTTCTTGAAGTTTGTACGATGCGATCACATTCCCCTTCTGTAACAAATGAAAAATGAAATGAATTACACACCCAAAATAGAAGTACTAGTAGCAGTACTTGTTGTTGTTCTAGTAGTATAACATGTATATATATATATATTTTTTTTTTACAGCGAATGGAAACATTACCTGTTTTGGTAGGCTTTCACTCGCTGTTCCTGTTCTAGAGCCCAGCCGAATTACATGTATATATAACTCTTTGTTTATATACGGTATTTTACTTTACTCAACTCAGTTGTTCAACGGCAATCTGCTATTAAAGATGAGCTCGGTTTTTGTTTGCTTATAATTTACATGCCTATAAATGGTCACGGCTGGAATGCTCTGCATTGAGTCGGACGGTATGTGATATTATAACAACTGAATATTCAAAATCAAACTATTTTTTCTTATAATATGGTCATTCTAATTAACTTTCAGTTTCTTGATCACATTGCTTTACCGTGATTCATGGAGTACAGAACGACCTGGACTTTTGCCGGATCAATGAGGTTGGCACAATGGGGAATCTTCAATCTGACAGGTTTCTCTGATTCAAACTGTAATCCTGACGGGAGACACTGGAATCCGTAAGTAACAAGCGTCTCGTCATGTCTCAGTGTGATTTCAGGTGGGATGTCTGTGAGAACATCTAACTTTATTGTTTCACCAGAACCCTCTTGCAGTGCACCGGAAGGGATGAAAAGAGTGAGTCCGTATGACGGAATATGTAGCTGTCCTCCAGTTTGGTTAATGATCCCTTCAGAATGGTATTTGTCTACAATTAAAATAATGTGTAACATTATCAACACATGTATCATTTATGATGCGAGGATATCTTACCTTGGGTATTATGAATATTGAATGCATTGTGTATTTGAAATAATTTCAATAAACTATTTCATTTGTTTAACCCCGAATATTTATCCCTAGGAAAATTACCCCCTAGACAATTACCCCATATAACAATTACCCCCTCGGTCAATTACTCCCCGGAACTTTTGGAGCTGTATGTTTATTTAGATTATGTGAATCTGCCCGTATCAGGACAATTACCCCCTGGGCAATCACCCCCCGGAAAATTACCCCCCGGAAAACTACCCCCGTAGGACGATTACCCCCGGAAAATTCCCCCCCCCCCAGAGAATTACCCCCCCGAGGACAATTACCCCCCAAGGACAATTACCCCCCGGAGAATTGCCCCCCCCCCGAGGATAACTACCCCCCGGGGACAATTACCCCCCCCCCCCGAGGACAACTACCCCCAAGGACAACTACCCCCAAAGACAACTACCCCCGAGGACAATTACCCCCATGGACACTACTGGGCATGGGGGCTCAGTGGTTAGAGCGCCCACCTCATGAACGGGAGGTCGTGGGTTCGAACCCCGGCCGAGTCATACCAAAAACTTATAACAATGGGACCTTTTGCCTTCTAGCTAGGCGCTCAGCATATTATATTTGAGAAGGGTAGTAATAACATATTATGTTATGCAGGGCCCGTTGGAAGAGCAGTTTCATAACTGAAGTGGCTACCCTGGGTAAATAAAACGTTATTATTATTATTATTATTATTATTATTATTATTATTATTACCCTCGAGGAAAACTATTCCCCTGGAAAGCTATCCCCCAAGGATAATTACCTCCCGAGGACAACTACCTACCCCTCCCCCTTCTCTCCAAATTGCTATTTACAGACAATAGCATAAACCTTCATTTTCTTTGTTATTTATGAAGTTAATTTCAGTCTTTTCAAATTATTCAATTCGATATGACGGGGGGGGGGGGGGTGGGTGGAGTGGGTGGGTGGAGGTTGCCCAATTCCCATGTAGTTTTGCTACCGAGTAAAGAACAGAAATTACATTTCTTAGAAATTGAACAAAACATAGCGCGCAGATGAGTACGTGGTACAGCCTCTCTCACCATCAATGGCACAACAAAGAAATTAGGATGTAAGATTTCCTTTATGCATCCTCTGTAACTTTTTTAATCAGCTGATCGTGTATTTGTCTTTGTATTTATAATGGGCCCTCATCCATACCATGATCCATAATTAAGGTTTTCTTCACGTTATCTATTTATTTATGTTGTAATGCTGAAGTATAATATGTTTTCGTGTACTTGCCTTCAAGTTATATTTACGGTGCCATGTCAAAAGAAAATAAATATCCGCTCTCTGGTAATTCATCTCATTTGATTTTGTAACTCCAGCACAGCGTTTTTCAACCGGGGTGCCACAAGAGAATGATTTTGAAAACGTTGATTTTGTAAAAAAATCAAATACCAGAAACGGTTAAAATATGTAATTACATGAGAAAATAAATTTTTGAAGATACTTAAGTGTCTTCCTTCCTCGCTCGCTGACAATATTTTGACAGCAAGGCAAATAAGGGTAACGAGAGGCCCGAATATGCTCATATTCGTGTATCAAGGTCATGACCGAATATATCACTTTTTATTTAATATGTACATTCGGCGGCAAGGTGCCCGCATACAATACTTTAAAAAGTTCTAGTGTGTGGATTACAAAATAATCTCTTACCAGTTTGAAAATGTCTTCTCCTTTTTATTCTTAAATGTGTCCATACGTGTGTGCATAGCACTTGACGAGAGCCAGAGTCATGCAAAATTAATAGTCTGTAAAGACTTTGGGATTTGAGAGAAACTTTTCACTTTTTAAGAGGGTACCGACACTAACACAAAGTTGAAATAACGCTGCTCCAGAGAAATATATTTCTATGCATTTTGAAAAGCGCTGGACAATTACCTACATTCTTCGTGGAAATTAGCAACCGCACTGGCGTTGCATAAATCATAATGAAAGGGAAATGTGTAGTAATGAGGAAGACAACGTGCTATAGTATTTGAAAAATATGGGTTCATGCAGGGGATCTTATGGGCTCGTAGTCATCTCTCAATGTGTCAGATCGTCTTTTGCTATTGAATCCTGATTGTCCAAGGGGGCAGTTGTCCTCGGGGGGTAATTGTCATCGGGGGAATTGTCATCGGGGGGTAATTATCATCGGGGGTAGTTGTCCTCGGGGGGTAGTTATCATCGGGGGTTAATTGTCCGGGGGGGGGTAATTGTCCTAGGGGGTAATTGTCCTCGGGGGTAATTGTCCTAGGGGGTAATTGTCCTCGGGGGTAATTGTCCTCGGGGGGTAGTTGTCCTCGGGTGGTAATTTTCAGGGGGGGGGGGTGATTGCCCAGGGGGTAGTTGTCCTAGAACCAAATCTGCCGGTTATATTAAGGGGCATCGTTGTTTTATCGGACTTTATTTGAGCCCATGAACATAGATATATTTCCTTTTCCTTTTAAATCAGTACAGCACTAAGTTCGGTGAGGCTGGACCCAAATTAGTAGCCCTAGAAGTATAGTTAGGGGTAGTCCAAAGAGTTAACCTTCTTGGGATTATACAGTATTGTAATATGTGGATGATGATATAACTTTGTTTGGTGATCAAGTATAATTATGTAGTAAGATTATTATGTTCAGATTATTAAGAATTACAAAAGTAATCTGGATGATATAATGATTTATTTTGCTCTTTTTTTTTCCATGCATACTGGATCCTTCGGTATTTACTTTTAAATCATATACATGGATTTTTCTCTTTGAACAGCTTGATCCATTTTGATAACGAATCAGGTAATAGACACCCTGCTTATTATTCTTAGTACATATCTTTTTCTTTGTTATATTATAACAACTCAGTCGAGATTCTAAAGGAGTTAATAATTTAGTTTAGAGTATGTTTGTCATGGAAACCTGGTGTTTGGAAAATTGTTGGTTAATTCATGCACCAGTGAAATGTTTGGTATTCTTGTTATATTTACATACATGTTTTTGTCTGGGTTTTCTTCCATGTTTATCGCTTGACAGGAGGAATAAAGAATAACGAGACCTCATGCCACTGACCTTCTGGTCCAATTATTTCCTGTCTAATACATACATACACAACGTTTTAAATGTTATACCAAGCATCTGATATTTAATCACTTGGTAACTGGAAGAAATTGTAGTCCGTTTAACAATAGGGGTAGCATGGAATAATTTCGGCTATTGAAAGATTAGCCGATTGATTACGCTCCTTCCGTAGACGATGGAGTCTGCCTAGGTTCTCTTTTCAGATACCCCCAATTACCCGATTACGATATGTATCTTGAATCAAGTACCCTCTGATGCGATTTAGATTAGAAAATGTCCAGTTTGGGTTACAACTAAAATGGGTGACATGGTCAGACATTCTCATGTATCAATCAAACACAACAGCAACGTTCCTGATTGCAGGAGGATCAGGGATGTGTCACCACTAGAAAATAAGAGGTCATTGATAATAACATTACACCTCTTATCGATGGCCCTGGCGCTGTTGGAGTCCTTAGTCGACATCGAGGTGAAACCAGAAAGCCGAGGTGCTTTCACCGAGGGCCTCTAATGCCTTGGTCACATATAAACCGGGCCCCTTACGATTTTCCCTACCCGGCGGCAAGCCGTGGATTTAGAGACGGTACGGGAACCTTCCGACTTGTATATCTACGGCATGTGTGGTCACATATTCTGCGGCGCCCGGGAGGTACCCGGTGAAAACTGGTCGAGTGTAATGCAAGGCGCCCCTAAGGGTGCCGGCCGGTAAACTTACGGGCTCCGTCCGATGAGCAGGTACACCCATGGATCCCGGAAGGTGCCCTGCCGGGGTCCTCGAGGCGCCCGCACCTCCTGTATGTAAAGCTGCGTTGTACATTTTTAGATGCCGCCGTGAGGTACCCGCACGGGCATATTCCTTTCAAAGGGCATCCGGACGGCAGATGCCTGTTGTTGTGCATATCACCCGGGGCTCTTGAGAAGCCCGCGAAGGAGCCGAAGGGTACACGTACGGAACCCTTGAGCACCGCAAGGCGCCCGTAAAGATTTTTCATGAGAAATGACCACAAACAAATCGTGAGGGGCCGTTCGGGCACCGTCCAGAGTCCGCACGGGCCCCGTAAGGTGCCCTACGGGCCCTTTAAGGGCTTTATACGGCTAACAGTCAGATATAAACCGGGCCCCGTACGATTGCCCCTACCCGGCGGCTTGGCTTGGATTTAGAGACCGTACGGGAACCGACCGATCTTCATTTCTACGGCATGTGCGGTCACCTATTCTGCGGCGCCCGGGAGGTGCCCGGAGAATTGGTCGAGTGAAATGCAAGGCGCCCGTAAGGGTGCCGGCCGAGTGCCGGCCGGTAACCTTACGGGCTCTGTCCGATGAGCAGGTGTACCGAGGGCTCACTGAAGGTGCCCTGCTGGGGCCCGGCCGGGTGCCGTGCGGTGCACTGAACTACAGAGTGAGTCAGAAAAAATGTCCCTCTTTTTAAAAGTTGTATTGTTTGAAGTATGAATATTCAATCATGGGTTTCATTATATGTCTTGATAGAGTTATCCTCCCAGTAAATTTAGATACCATTTCTATTTGAATCTCTGCATGCATCACTGAATATCAGACAATCTTTACAAGACTGCCAGATCTCACTTGCGCCAAGTTACTGGGTCCGTGTGGGAACCATACGGTGCCCTATGGGCCCTTTACGGACTTTCAACGGCCTAACGGTCAGATAAAAATGCCGGGAGAATTGGGAGCAGCCAACTCAGCACCACGGCGCCCGTACGGCTTACAAAACTGTCCCGGCGCCCGTCGGAACTTTACGGCAACCGGCCGGACACCGGCCGAAAATTCCCAAAATGTCTGTTTTTACTCGGTAGGTACTCATAACTTTTAGGTACTTGTTTTTGTTTAATTTGTTTAATAGTGATTTACAATAAAAAAAGTACAAACTGCCAGCGGCGACCGGGCGGCGACTGCTCGGCAGCCTTTGACCTAGCGGCTTCGATGTTTGACCTAAATAGCTCGATGGCAAACGCTCGATTAGGTCAGTGCCCCATATGGAAACGTTGTATCATCCGCTCAATCTGACTTGCGTGCATAACACAAATAAGCATTTTTCCATGAACAAGTGAAGTTTTCTAAAATGTGCGTTTCTTTCCATCATTGGGGTGCCCGGAAGTTACTCGGGTAATATTTCATTAAGTATAATATAAAAAGATCATATGCAAATTTTCTGTACTTTTGTCGGAAAAAATATATTTATCCAGCACAATGTCGTCTCTTTTTGCGTTGAAGAAGAGCAAATAGCGAGTTTCAATCACACTTTGGCTGCTCTCGTAAGCTCTCACTCGTTTCACTGTGGTCAAGCGACTTTGGGTCAAGCGGTTAATGAAGATACTAATCGTTAGCTTTCTTCTGGTATTAAACTTGTTTTGATAGATTGTATAATTTTGTGGGAATAAAGTAAACAAAAAGGCTTGACCAATAACGTATCAGCGTCTGAATTGACTTTTTGACCTTGAATTCCCTGATGCAAGCGCACATAAACAGGTTCTAATGACGTCATCTTCGCTAAATCGGTGTCTTTTATCGTAAAATGCTACATTTTCACAATGTTTCGCAATCTTTTTTAATTATTAGTAAGATATAACATATTTTGTCTGATATCAACTAAAATTTTGGGTTTTATTTAATGAGTAATTTTAAAATAAGAGCCAATTTACTGTTTTAGTTTACTGGATCGTACCATTAAAGTCGCAGGGTAGAAAGGTGCATTTTTTCAACCGCGCCAAATTTACCAACATTCTGTTAAATGGGTTCGTGTTGTTAAGAATCACTGCTTTCTGCTACACTAAACGTCCACATGCGGAGTCGTTTATCAACTAAATTATTCAAATTTATGGATCGATGCTTCCTTTCCAGGTGTTTGTGTTGTTAAAGCATTTCATTCACCTGATATCATTCTTCGTACTCTAATTGCCAGAACGCAAATTACATTTTGGTTTTATAGTTTCATGCGGAGTCGTTTATCAACTATATGTATTTAATAGTATGAATGCTTCCTTCCTAGGTGTTTGTGGTGTTTATGCATCTCATTCACCTGTTATAATTCTTTCTTCTCCAATTGTTAGAAGACAAAATGCATTTTGGTTTTATAGTTTCATTCAATAAATAAGTCAATAAAAGAGTATTTTCTGCACAATAAAAACAATGTGTGTCCCTATTGTAGAATGTAATGTTTCCCCTCATTTTGTAATAGTTAATTTATCTATTCACATAATGGAACTACCTGCCCGATGAAGCCAGTGGCCCTTGACCCCTGAGCACTCAACAACGTGTGGGAGTCAGTTTGTGGTCAACTTCTTTTATGAGACAATTCCAAGCAAACGTTTCCATATGGGCGGCGATCGCCCGGGCACCGAGCGTACTTTGGGCGGCGAGTGAAAGTGAGCAGGCGCCGCCCGAATTTTAACTCCGCGCTAAAACTTCAACAGCGACCGAGCGATGCCCTAAAAACAAGCAGAGTCCGGGCGGCCGCCGCTCGGTGCCCGTCCGAAATTGGCTCAATACTCGCCGCCCGGCTTATTAATTATTGGTGTTGTGACCACAGCTTTACGCATCGTGCGATTTCTTTTTTCTTGCAGTAATTTAGCATCAGCATATTAAAGTATCCATCGTTGAAAACATATCACCGCCAAAGACATTCGTCGAATATGAACATTTACTGCTCACTTTAACTCACCGCCCAAAGTACGCTGGGAGATCAGTCGGTCACTGGGCGGCGAATTCAAAATCGGCCGGCAGCCTTTGACCTAGTGGCTTCGAATTTTGACCTAAATCGCTCGACGGCGAATGCTCGATTAGGTCGGATTGTGTTAACTTCGTAATTTTTTGTTATTACTATGTTTGTTATTGCTTGTAAAATTGTGTTGTATTATAAATTAATTCAACATTTAATTACACAAATAAAAAATTCAAATTATTTAATCTTGTTACCTCAATTTAATAGTCGTATAGGTTATACTGGCCCGCATTTCGTGAATGTGAGATTAAGTTTAAATTAAGAAAGAAAGAGGTATTGATTATTGTTAGTAAAATCCTTAGATGTCAGTAAAGCTTCTTTTTTAAATGGAAGGGGGTCCTTATTTTATAATCCCTATGATAAGTGTCCTCCTCTCATACCGATTCTCCTTCCAAACAAATTTGGTATATGGCAATGTCAACGGCCTTGTACGTTCAGGGCTCCCACTTAGCCCGAGTTAGAGCCTCGAGTTGTGGCGAGCTGTCACGATCGTATGACAAGCCGTTTTATCATTAAAACATATTTCTTGATATCACGAAATCTATTTCTTGATATCACGAAATCGAATTCTTGATATCAAGAATTGCCATTGCTTTACAACGTAAAATTATTTCTTGATATCAAGAAATATGTTTTAATGATAAAACGACCTGACACAAGATCGCGCCAGCTCGCCACAACTCGAGGCTCCAACTCGGCTAAATGGGAGCCCTGCTTTACCTATTGAAATGTGCGAACATGACGATTATGTATTACGTAATTGGAACATGATTTCTATGAGACAAAAAATAGGTTATTGAAAGTGTCCTAGAGTTAATCTCTTGACAGTCTCTGCGAATGGGTTCATTGTGTGGGCATGGAGTGTAAAAGGCTAGCATTATGTTCATGTCTATTTTGTAAGCGATTACACTTTTTGTATGTGCTGTACATTCAACCGCATAATTATGACGTAGATTTTACTTTAAAAATGGCTTTCTCGACACATGTTATGTGTAAATACACATGTATATTCAGCTATTAATTAAGAATGATATACCCATCCTGTTCTCAACCTTCGTGTGAGAAGCCAGAAAAGTTTCATCATGAATTTAGTTCAGACGAATTCTAGTGGAGCAAACTATAATTACAAAGACACTGTCACTATATGAAATTAATGTAACCTAACATAAGAGATTGAAACTTACATTTTCTATGCCTTAACAAGGTAATACTCGCTTACCAGATGGAGCTGTTTCTTGTGGGAGATAGTCACCTATTTGAAAAAAAATTGTAAATTCATGTTATTTTTTTTTCCTTCTGAAATTAAATATTTGTTAAATAATGATGTCCGTGAACAATCTTCATAACAATTTAGTGAATACTTTTCCCCCCATATATTTAACAAATGTATATGTAGTGGGAACAAGATTTCATTCTGAATCAATTTGGCTAGTGGTTATACACATATTGATCCGTAATCATAATACATACATTAATGTTTATATACCAACCTGTTTAACTCGAACATGATTTTGGTTAAACAAATAAAAATTAGATTTGAAATTAACTTTATGTTTAATATAAGTAAAACGAAAATTATTTTGTGTAATTTTAAGAATGCATAAAAAGTAAATACATAATTCTTGTTGTTTCTGGGAAGTTATTTAGAATGTTTTATACATCATTTTGCTTAGGCCTACATACCAAAAGCTCGATTATGAAGCCACAGAACCTATATAAAGTTTCG